CAACCAGATACTCAAAGCTCAAAACACTATGACCACTCAATCCCAGAGGGGCTTCCAACTTAACTTCCCTTATATCCGACTCATTTAGACTAAATATCAGATCAAGCAAGGCTGGTTCGTCCTCTCTTCTCATTCTTGTCGGTCCCTTGACGTGTTGACTTAGAAAGTTTCTTGTTGCCACGTCCAACAGCTTAACTCTTCTTGTGTCTGGTCTTCCACGTGGGTCTCTGTTCCCCCAATCTATCTTCCCATGTTTGAAGTCTCCCATGATTAGTAGTCTGGATCCATTCCTGCTAGCCACAGAAGCTGCTCTCTCTCTTATATTGATAGTGGCCATGTTGTTTCTATCATATTCCTGTCTGGGTCTTCTGTCGTTCGGTGGGGGGTTATATATGACTACTATTATAATTTTCTGTCCTCCAGTTGCTATGGTGCCTGATATGTAGTCACTGAAACCTTCACAGTTCTGATTTACCATCTCTTTAAAACTCCAACCTTTTCTTATCAGCAAAGCTACACCACCTCCTCCTCTCCCTTCTCTCTCTTTCCTCACTACATAGTAGTCCTGTGGAAACACTGCATTTGTTATGGTTTTCGTTAGCTTTGTTTTTGTGAGTGCTATTATGTCTGGGTTTTCTTTTAGTGTCCATTCTCCGAGTTCACTTGTTTTATTTGTAATCCCATCTATGTTAGTGTACATTGCCTTGAAGCTCACTTTCTTCTGTTCATTTTCTAGTCCCTTTCTTGGCGAGCATTTTACTGGTGGGGAAAGCTGTTCCCTGGGTGAGAAGATCTGTGAGGTGGTTTGCAGGGTCTCAGAGGATTTTAGGGTGGGGGTTCAAGGGAAGGGGGGACAGGTAGGGTGTGGGTTAAGGAGATAGGGGGAACATGGAGGATACGGGGTGAGGGGGAGGAGGGATAGGGAGGGTATGGGATGAAGGGGGAGGGGGGACAGGGGAGGAAAGGCGGGAGGGGGGACATGGTTGGAATGAGGGAGGTGTGATAGGGTCAGAATGAGGTGGGGGGGGGGGGGGGGTTAGCATTTGGGTGGGGGCAGGTAGAGTGAGGGGAAGGGAGTGTGTGTGTGTACTCACCTATTTGTGCATGCGGGGGTTGAGCTTTGGCTCTTTGGTCCCGCCTCTCAACTGTCAATCAACTGGTGTACAGATTCCTGAGCCTACTGGGCTCTATCATATCTACATTTAAAACTGTGTATGGAGTCAGCCTCCTCCACATCACTTCCTAGTGCATTCCATCCGTTAACTACTCTGCCCCTGAAAAATTTCCTTCTAACGTCCCAGTGGCTCATGTGGGTACTCAGTTTCCACCTGTGTCCCCTTGTTTGCGTCACACCAGTGTTGAACAGTTTATCCTTGTTTACCCGGTCGATTCCCCTGAGGATTTTGTAGGTTGTGATCATGTCTCCCCTTACTCTTTTGTCTTCCAGTGTCGTAAGGTGCATTTCCCGCAGCGTTTCCTCGTAACTCATGCCTCTTAATTCTGGGACTAGTCTAGTTGCATACCTTTGTACTTTTTTCAGCTTCGTCTTGTGCTTGACAAGGTACGGGCTCCATGCTGGGGCCGCATACTCCAGGATTGGTCTTACATATGTGGTGTACAAGATTCTGAATGATTCCTTACACTGGTTCCTGAACGCTGTTCTGATGTTAGCCAGCCTCGCATATGCTGCAGACGTTATTCTTTTTATGCGGGCTTCAGGAGACAGGTTTGGTGTGATATCAACTCCTAGATCTTTCTCTCTGTCCGTTTCATTAAGTACTTCATCTCCTATTCTGTATCCTGTGTCTGGCTTCCTGTTTCCACTGCCTAGTTTCATTACTTTGCATTTACTCGGGTTGAACTTCAACAGCCATTTCTTGGACCATTCATTCAGTCTGTCTAGGTCATCTTGTAGCCTCCTACTATCATTCTCTGTTTCAATCCTCCTCATAATTTTTCCATCTTCGGCAAAAATTGAGAGAAACGATTCTATTCCCTCTAGGAGATCATTTACATATATCAGAAACAGTATAGGTCAAAGGACTGACCCCTGCGGGACTTCACTCGTAACGTCTCGCCAATCTGAGACCTCACCCCTCACACTGACTCGTTGTCTCCTGTAGCTTAGGTACTCCTTTATCCAATGGAGTACCTTCCCTTTCACTCCAGCCTGCATCTCCAGCTTTTTCATTAGCCTCTTGTGTGGTACTGTACCAAAGGTTTTCTGACAATCCAAAAATATGCAGTCTGCCCACCCTTCTCTTTCTTGCCTTATTTTTGTTGCCTGGTCGTAGAATTCAAGTAACCCTGTGAGGCAGCACCTGCCATCCCTGAACCCATGTTGATGCTGTGTTACAAAGTTCTTTCGCTCCAGGTGCTCCACTAGCTTTCTTCGCACAATCTTCTCCATCAGCTTGCATGGTATGCAGGTTAGGGACACTGGCCTGTAGTTCAGTGCCTGCTGTCTATCCCCTTTCTTGTATATCGGGACTACGTTAGCTGCTTTCCAAATATCTGGCAGTTTCCCTGTTGCCAGTGATTTGTTACACACTATGGAGAGTGGTAGGCACAGTTCTTCTGCTCCTTCCTTTAGTATCCAAGGGGATATTCCATCTGGGCCTATAGCCTTTGTCACATCCAACTCTAGTAAGCACTTCCTTACTTCCCCGCTGGTAATCTCAAACTCTTCCAGTGGTTCCTGGTTAGCTATTCCCTCACTTATCTCTGGAATTTCTCGTTTGTAGTGAATCCTTCTGCCCTTGTCCTTAATTTCATAACCTGTTCCTTTACTGTTGCTTTTCTCCTGATGTGGCTATGCAGCAATTTAGGCTGAGTCTTTGCCTTGCTTGCGATGTCATTTTCGCATTGTCTTTCTGCCTCTCTTCTCATCCTGACATATTCATTCCTGGCATTCTGGTATCTTTCTCTGCTCTCAAGTGTCCTGTTATTCCAGTAGTTTCTCCATGCCCTTTTACTTTGCTGCTTAGCTAGCCTACATCTCTGATTAAACCATGGGTTTCTCATCTTCATTTCACTGTTTTCCTTTTGGACTGGGACAAACTTGTTTGCTGCGTCCTTGCACTTCTGCGTGATGTAGTCCATCATATCTTGGGCCGTCTTTCCCGTGAGCTCTGTTTCCCATGCTATATCTGTTAGGAATTTTCTTATCTCCTCATAGTTTCCCTTTCGGTATGCTAACCCGTGTGTGCTAACTAATCATGGTAACACACACAATTGCATGTGTGTGTGTGTGTGTGTGTGTGTGTGTGTGTGTGTGTGTGTGTGTGTGAGTGTGAGAGAGTGTGTGTGTGTGTGTGTGTGTGTGTGTGTGTGTGTGTGTGTGTGAGTGTGAGTGTGAGTGTGAGAGTGTGTGTGTGTGTGTGTGTGTGTGTGTGTGTGTGTGTGTGTGTGTGTGTGTGTGTGTGTGTGTGTGTGTGTGTGTGTGTGTGTGTGATCTGTGGTAAGTTTTTAACAGCCCTTAAGTGGTTGTGATCAGAGACGTGTAATTGACATTTGAATGACTTTTCTGTTGCTGACACAATGTATAAAGCTTCCGCATTTCTTTTAACTGAGGAATTATTTTGAGCTGTTGTGTACGTTTTTCTAGGTGTAGTTCGCGTTTTCAGTGGTTTGTTTTTGTACTTTACATTGTTGCCTTTTTTTTGCATCTTTTTAGGCTAAGGTTAAAGCTTTTGTATTTGTTACGTGAATGTCTTATTTACATAATTTCCCACTTAGTTATGGTTGGCGTGCATGGTCATCCTACACATAGAAATCACAATTGCGTGATGCATCAAATGAACAAATGAACACGGCCCTTGTGGATTTGTTCATGGTCATCCTAGACTCCTGGAACACCTCCAGGAGTTCAACTGCATTCACTGATATCATCATTTATTTGTCCTATTTAGTCAAAATCCCTGGAAACACAATCGGAAACTCTCTCTATTTTCCGCTTGTTACAACTTGTAATAAAGTTGTTACATCTTGGCTTAACGTGTTTATGACGTATTAGAACGTTGTTACAACTTGCTATATTGGTTGTTATATCTGGTTAGGTGTTAAAACTTGTTCGAACGTTGTACCAACGTCGTAGTTTCGGTGTGTGTTTGGCGGGAAAGTATCAGTGATTAGTGAAGCACCTCCAGTAAGCCCTTTTTGTACTTTTAATTTTATAGAGTCCGGAAAAAATATAACTAAAGACAAAATTTAAACATTTCTGGGCCTAGTATAAAACTTATATATGTGCTATCAGGACTAAGATAGGGTTATTAGGCCTAGGATTACTAGGAGAGGTTAGGTTAGGTCTTATATGTGAATTGACATGACAAATAACAAAACATTTGACCAACTTTAATAATACAAAAGTCAACGTTTTGACGGTCCATCACAACATTTTGGTACCTTCGATCAAATAGTTACTACAAGTACCTTCTTTTTAGGAGGCTGGGCTTTGCACGGCTATCATTTAGCTTTGGGTTGATCTTCCACATCTCATGTAAATTGTTTGAACTCCAGAGAAAGTGAGAGACGTCTAGCTGCCTTCAGCTGTAGTTAGTGCATTGAGCTTCTTTCGTCTTGTATTCGTAAACGTGATGCTTGAATGAATTGAAAGCCTGATGGAGAAATTTTGTTATTCCAATGTCAGTTTGAGCTGTGGGGAGCAGATGTCAGTGAGAGATGGAAGGTATGTCTCAGCCTTCGTCTTAGCCTGTCTGATTATCTAGAACCAAATTCACAAAGCAGTTACGCAAGTACTTACAAACGTGTACATATTTTCTCAATCTTTATCGGCTTTGTTTAGAATTATTAAACAGTTTACAAGCATAAAAACTTCCCAATCAACTGTTATTATTGCTATAAACAGTCTCCTGGTGCTTCGGAGCCCATTAACAGTCTAATAATTGTAAAAAAAGCCGCCAAAGATTGAGAAAAGATGTACACGTTCGTAAGTACTCGAGTAACTGCTTCGTGAATCTGGCCCCTGGCTTTCTGTCTGCCTGTCTCGTCGCCTGTCCGTCTCACTGTTAGTTTTATCGACTAAAGTACGACTTAGACCACTTAACCACTACATGCTCAACAACAATGAAACCCGAGATTGAACTGAATCCTCCAGGCGGGGATCCTGTGGCTTCCACTGAAGTCAAGTCAGGGGTTTCACTCATTGCCTCCAAGCACTCTTGACTGTGGTTAAGTGGTCTAAGGCGTGTGCTTGCGAGTACGCAGCTGGAAAGTTCGAATCCTCAAGGCTCCTACTGATTTTTCCATTCATTCATTTCCATGTTATTGTGGTTCTTTTTCCATTATTATTATTATTATTATTATTATTATTATTATTATTATTATTTTTATTATTATTATTATAATTTACTAATAAAAAGTACTGATATAGGCTCCATTCTCTCATGAGTTAATTTAAGTTTCTTGTTTCCTGACTCACGGGATATATATATACTCATATATACTCATGTGGATGATTAGCTACAGGGAAGGTGATGCCTTCCTCATTGATCTCATGAGGAAGAGGACGCCAGAGGAAAGATGATAACTTCCTCATCAAACTCGGCAACATATTGACGAGAACAAACAAGAACAAACAAGAACAAACAACAAGACTAACTGGGAGGCAAAAGATTCCCTTCTTCCCCCCCCTTGAGCGCCCTGGCCGGCTGGTTGTATAGTGAGTGTGTATAGTGAGGGTGTATAGTGAGGGTGTATAGTGAGGGTGTATAGTGAGGGTGTATAGTGAGGGTGTATAGTGAGTGTGTATAGTGAGTGTGTATAGTGAGGGTGATGGTGGTACAGTGTGAGGCAGTGTAGTGGTGAGTCAGGGAGGATCAATACAGTAGTGAGTCACGATGGGTCAATACAGTAGTGAGTCAGGGATGGTCAATACAGTAGTGAGTCAGGAATGGTCAATACAGTAGTGAGTCAGGAATGGTCAATACAGTAGTGAGTCAGGGATGGTCAATACAGTAGTGAGTCAGGGATGGTCAATACAGTAGTGAGTCAGGGATGGTCAATACAGTAGTGAGTCAGGAATGGTCAATACAGTAGTGAGTCAGGGATGGTCAATACAGTAGTGAGTCAGGAATGGTCAATACAGTGGTGAGTCAGGGATGGGTCAATACAGTAGTGAGTCAGGGATGGTCAATACAGTAGTGAGTCAGGGATGGTCAATACAGTAGTGAGTCAGGGATGGTCAATACAGTAGTGAGTCAGGAATGGTCAATACAGTGGTGAGTCAGGGATGGGTCAATACAGTAGTGAGTCAGGGATGGTCAATACAGTAGTGAGTCAGGGATGGTCAATACAGTAGTGAGTCAGGAATGGTCAATACAGTGGTGAGTCAGGGATGGGTCAATACAGTAGTGAGTCAGGAATGGTCAATACAGTAGTGAGCCAGGGATGGTCAATACAGTAGTGAGTCAGGAATGGTCAATACAGTAGTGAGTCAGAAATGGTCAATACAGTAGTGAGTCAGGAATGGTCAATACAGTAGTGAGTCAGAAATGGTCAATACAGTAGTGAGTCAGAAATGGTCAATACAGTAGAGGGTCAGGAATGGTCAATACAGTAGTGAGTCAGAAATGGTCAATACAGTAGAGGGTCAGGAATGGTCAATACAGTAGTGAGTCAGAAATGGTCAATACAGTAGTGAGTCAGGAATGGTCAATACAGTAGTGAGTCAGAGATGAGTCAGTACAATAGTAAACTTCTCCAAAGAATTTTCTCATTAATATTATTAATATTATCATCATTATTATTGCTGTTTTTGACCTGCCAGATGAATAGAAAACAGCGGTCTGGACCGCAAGTGTTGTCTTAAACTCTACGGGAATCACACGCAACATTTTACTAGGTGCTTCCTGACTCTGAACACCTGGAGTGGGTTGTGGGTGTTGTGGGACATATGTTGTGGTTCCTGGGATGACATCTGCTGTGGTTCCTGGGATGACATCTGTTGTGGTTCCTGGGATGACATGTGCTGTGGTTCCTGGGATGACATGTGCTGTGGTTCCTGGGATGACATCTGCTGTGGTTCCTGGGATGACATGTGCTGTGGTTCCTGGGATGACATCTGCGGTGGTTCCTGGGATGACATCTGCTGTGGTTCCTGGGATGACATGTGCTGTGGTTCCTGGGAATGACATCTGCTGTGGTTCCTGGGATGACATGTGCTGTGGTTCCTGGGATGACATCTGCTGTGGTTCCTGGGAATGACATCTGTTGTGGTTCCTGGGATGACATCTGCTGTGGTTCCTGGGATGACATGTGCTGTGGTTCCTGGGATGACATCTGCTGTGGTTCCTTGGATGACATCTGTTGTGGTTCCTGGGATGACATCTGCTGTGGTTCCTGGCATGACATCTGCTGTGGTTCCTGGCATGACATCTGCTGTGGCTCGATCAGATCTATTACCTGTGTGCTTTCATGATCAATAATATTTTCTTTGACCAGTTCCGAGATAAGAAAATATTGACCCCTTTAAGTGACAGTGTTGATCAAGGGAGTGAGATGCTTGCCTTCGTCAGCAGTAAGAAAATGATAATAATAAGAAAAAGAATAATAGAATTAAATAAAAAAGATTTCGAGCACTATTTTAACACGAGTAAAATAAACAATAAGAACATAAAGAACATTAGCAATAAAAATAACAAATAACAACATTATTAATAACAACAGCAATAGGAATAAAGTAATAGTGATAATAATGAAAATTAAAGTGAGAATTACAAATAAGTGACCATTATCTCGTCTACCTCGTAAAGTGCCCTTTCTCAAAGGAGTAACTCATAGAAAAGTACCTCGAAAGCCGAGTTTAAGTAACATCTCAATTCAGTGCTTGATTCCGCTCCCTGCTATAAGTGCCATAAGTAGAGCCCCCTCTGTCACATGAAGCTGCTCTTAAGTACAATTCAATACCTAGAGCGACAGTCTCGCTTCATGCAGGTCGGCGTTCAATCCCCGACCATCCAAGTGGTTGGGCACCATTCCTTTTCCACCCCCCCCCTGTCCCATCCCTAATCCTTATCCTGACCCTTTCCCAGTGCTATATAGTCATAATGACTTGGCGCTTCCTCCTGATAGTTCCCCTTCTCCTGCTTCCTGGCAATGCTGCTGGACTATAGTGACCACATCTTGCCAGACGAAGCAACAGCTCACTGGTTGTGCATCTTGCAAGCAATGTTCTCTTTAATTACATTTCTTCAAGACTGTCAAATAAATACATCACCCCTACCTATCATCCGGGGTGCAAAATACACTCATACACGTTTGTATATATGTGTAGTTCAATTCTACAATACATCAGAGGACAGGGCGAGAACAGCATACATACCCACGCAAGTCAGTGTAAGTAAATATGCTAGCCACTTATTGTAAGTGTTGTTCGTAGTCAAGTTGCCCAGGAAGTATAGTGAGGATGTAGCTGAGGGAACTTACTTTTATATTTACACTTTACAGACCTCTCGATCCCTGTCCGTCGGTTTTAAGTTAAAAACACAATTGTAAGTTAGAACTTAAGTACGGATGAAGAATCTCACTTAAATCACATAAACACATCCATATAAGTATATACCCTGTGAGAGAGAGAGAGAGTGAGAGAGAGAGAGAGAGAGAGTGTGAGTGAGAGAGAGAGAGAGTGAGAGAGAGAGTGAGAAACAATCTAAGAAAGACAAGTGTTATCGTTTTACTTTTGATTCACAACGACATGAACTCCTGATCTGGGCATCGTCGTTCACGCCTCTAAATAGTCGTTATAAATGTCTTCTGGAAACGACACGATCGTAATTCCTAACCCCAGTCTGCAGGAAACTGTCGCTTTACACCTCTGTGGCAACTCGGGATTATCGTACGTCCCCACACGACCACTATCTCCCACCGTAAGGATCCTTGACACCAATGGGTTCACGTGTCGTTTTCACGTGCACGACCGGTCGTTTACTTCACCTTTTGGTTCAACCCAACAGATCATTGCATGCGTGAGTTGATGCACCGTGTCTCACAACACGACAGCCTGTCGCTTTCAACGACAAAACTTTACAAAATTGTCGTCCTCTTCATACATCTCGTAACAACACCCAGATATTTTCGTCGTCGGTTCTACACGACAAGGCGCTTTACATGCGTGTCGTTTATACCATTATACACGACGTGCCTCAGAGTTAAGCACGTAGCCGCCGTGTATTATTGCTCTGCACGACAGAACACGTCCACTTCTCTGTTTGCTTTTCTCTCTCAACACGACACAATGTTCACCTCTGTACACGACCAGTGACCTGACGAAGCCAGAGCCCATGGAGGGGTTGTCGTCGTCTCTATCACACGAACAGTGAATCCACCAGTCGCCTGCCGTCCCAGTTAAACGACAGATCCTGTGACCTTGCCACCCACCACGACGATAACGACACCCTTGGCTAAGGCTGTCACCACTCTCCTCGAGGATCCAAGGGAGGAGGATGAGGAGGAGGAATCTGCCATCGGCGCATCCCCCTACACGACAGATCCCCGGATCAAGGTGTCGTGGCTGCGCTTGGTATTGTATGTGAGGAGCTCGGTGTTGAGGTACTCCCTGGGTAGTGTGGTCGTCGTGGCTAGGGACGACCCCTGGTTCAGCTCCGCCCCTGCTCTTATTGGGTGATACCTGGTGCAGGAGCCGCCAGGGGCCAGGGGAGAGAAGGTGTGGGTTAGTGGGCTGACCAGAACACAGCCACTGGCAGGCTTCATTGGTGGAGGGGGGGGGGGAATAGTGAAGATGGGAGGAGGGTGAGGGCCATAGTGAAGGTGGGAGAGAGGGGGCGCCATAGTGAAGATGGGAGAGAGAGGGGGGGGGGAAGGGCAATAGTGAAGATTGGAAGGAAAGAAAATTAAGTCACAATATAACACATGGAAGGAAAGGAGAAGATAATACAACAGTCTGAAGTGAAAGAAGGCGATAAATACATCAACAGTTGGAAGTTGGACATAATACATCAACAGGTAGAAGGGGAAAAGGAGGAGACACTATAACAACAGGAAGGAATGGAGGAAACAATATATATATCAAGAACATAAAGAGTTTATTCCCCCGTATTGGTTACATTAATAACATAACACTGAGACAAGGGGTGACAGTCTCGATAAAACCAGTTGTCTCAGCTATAATAACTATCTCAGTATAACTGTGATCAAGTAATCTTAGTAAGGATAAGCTTATGAGGATTCCTGTAATTTAATTGCCTCAGTTGATTTGGTATCGGGCTTAAAGCCTATCAACCTCTGGGGCGTTATTAAGGTCACCACAATACATTACTGATCAACCAGCAGGTATATTTTAGTCCTGAACATATATATATATATATATATATATATATATATATATATATATATATATATATAATATATATATATATATATATATATATATATATAAATATATATATATATATATATATATATATATATATATATATATATATATATATATATATATATATATATATATATATATATATATATATTAGTATATTTTGGTAGCAGTCTTTCCTGTAGACATATATTATTAAATATGACCGAAAAAGTAAGATTAATAATTCTAACACGAATTTTCTCAATCTTTCGTACATTTCTTTTCACTGTTTGAATTACCTCCAACAGTGTAAAGAAATGTACGAAAGATTGAGAAAATTCGTGTTAGAATTATTAATCTTACTTTATATATATATATATATATATATATATATATATATATATATATATATATATATATATATATATATATATATATATAATCCTTTGACGGTTCCTCAGTAACAAGTAAGTCTGTTGCATCAGTAATATTAAATAACTGCAATATAGCTATGCAATCATCTCTGAAACTATAATTATTTCAGCAGTGTTGCAAGGTGTTGCGTCAGCAGTAATAACTCTGACGTTGTTGTAAAATATTCACTCAAGTTATCAGACATATTAAGACACAAATGCCAAAAACGTGGATTTTTATTACTAAGCTCGTTACAAAGGCAGTTAATTAATCATGAGCAATGGTTTAATTAGATTAAGTTGGGACAGTGTGTGTGTGTGTGTGTGTGTGTGTGTGTGTGTGTGTGTGTGTGTATGTGTGTGTGTGTGTGTGTGTGTGTGTGTGTGTGTGTGTGTGTGTGTGTGTGTGTGTGTGTGTGTATGTGTGTGTATGTGTATGTGTATGTGTGTGTGTGTGTGTGTGTGTGTGTGTGTGTGTGTGTGTGTGTGTGTGTGTGTGTGTGTGTGTGTGTGTGTGTGTGTGTATGCATGCGCGAGCACCAACTCACATGGTGTGCACGACAAAATCCACGCCAACCACGACGGCGCTGGTCAAACAAAACAGTTAGCAACAGTTAGCCTCCAGCCTCCCCCCTCCCCCCCCACGTTGAAGCAGAGAGTGACGCCACCAGCCTCCCTACCATCATCCCCAATCACTCCCTTTAGCCCCACCCCTTCATTCCCTTAGCACCCCCCCACCTCCCATTACCCATCATCCCCCGCCCCCTTATATCCTACCCATCACCAACTACCCCTCATTAATCCAACTACAAGCCAAACAACCCTAAGAAGCCACCGTTTAGTATGGTTAATAAAGCCTCATGCGCTCAAACTCAAAATGGCTCCACCTTACTGAAGGAGCAGCCAACTCCTTGGGTCCAATACTCACTCCCTTGCCCTAGTCCCCTCCCCTTTCCTACCCGAGGGTAGCTGCCCCACCCTAAGGGTGGAGGGGCCAGAGGGAGACGACTACAAGGTCAACCCTTAAGGGTGACAGCCTCCGCACACTTGTCTAGGTATGGTCTTTTGAGAGGTGGTCGCGGGAGAGGCTTGGTGGTGGACGAGGAGCTGCAAGATAGTCACCTCGTCATCATTCGTGATAATTACATTAATACAGAAATGAAAATTAAATGAATAAATAAATATGTAATATAATTTTAAGTTATATATATATATATATATATATATATATATATATATATATATATATATATATATATATTATATATATATATATATATATATATATATATATATATATATATATATATATATATATATATATATATATATATATATATATATATATATATATAAGTGGAGATTGGGAATGAAAGAAACAAACGGAATGAGAAACAAACAAACATACGACACATGCAATATGTGTAAAACATAATTAAATAGAATATTCAAATTGAACACAGTGTTTATATATATATAAAATAATAAAATAATGAAATATACTAATAAATGGGCCAAAAATATATAAATTGAAATATATAGCAATGGATTAGCCAAAAGTTTAATACTGATAAATAAACCACAACTTAAGTACTAATTCTTGAACCACTACTTCTGCACCAGTAAATAAGACATAACAAAAATGGGAGTAAATGAGAGACATAAGCAAGAGATGAGGAACACGAGGGACTTTTTTTGTTTTGTTTTTAATACGTGGTATAGAGATGGTGAGAGATGAAGATGCTGGGTGAGATGATGTCCCCTCTTGATCTCCGTCACCTCTCTCTACCATCTTCCTGACCTCAGTCACACCATCACCTTCCTGACCTCAGTCCTGGCACTCGTTCACCCTACAAGCAGCCGGATGCTGCATCACTTATGGGTGATGTAGAGATCTTACGGATGGACGTCTATTGCAGAACACATCTCTCAACGCTGTGGCTGACTGATGGATGGAATGGATGACGTGGGGGTTGTGAGCTGGTGAGGCTTGTCTGGGTAAGGTTTGTGGGTGTTTTGGTGAGTGAGTTTGGGTTGGGTGAGGTTTGAGTGGGTGCGGTTTGGATGGTTGAGGCTTGTGGGTGTTTGGATGAGTGGGATTTGTGAGTGAGTGTGTGAGGTTTGGTTTGAATTGAGGTTTGTTAGTGCTTGTTTTGATGTGGCTTGCGGGTGTTCGTGTGTTAGAATGGAAGGCGTTGGTTGAGGTTGAAAACAACGAACAATTTGATACATAACGGCTCGTGGATAACCAAGACGAAGTCTAGGGAAATATAATGCCACATATCGGATGTTTGGGAGGAAATTTAGAGACTCTTATTTGGATTGTGACGATCAGTGCTGCCCAGCATCAATGAATATATATATATATATATATATATATATATATATATATATATATATATATATATATATATATATATTGTGACGATAATCTCTTTCAAGAGAGATTGAGCCTGCTCTTCCCTCCAAAGTACGTTACATTAACAGATATTATAGAAGATATATCCAGCAAGTATCTCCAAAACGTTTTGCCCAGAGAGCAAAACGTATCCAGCACACCGGCACACCTGCTTGCCTCCGCCACCGTTAACCGGCAAACTGCTTGTCCATCGCCTGCCTGTCGCTGATTGGCTGGTGCACAGTCGCACCTGCCCCACCACCCTCCGCCACAAGTTGATGTCTGGGCAACAGCGGCCCAGAGAAGGCAGAATATCCCAGTGCTCCTTGCAGTTGACACGTCTCATTGGTAGACTAAGCCTTGGCTTACGTGTACTAAGGGAGGTGGCAGCTCGAAGCCAATATTCTGGCATCATCATTCTTATTTACTTTGCTATTACTCATTTGTCTTAACGTAACTTTTCATTTGCCAGTGATTATTCTTATTATTTTGTTTGTTGACTTGTCTTTTATATTTTATACTAAATTTTATTCATGTCTTGCTTTTCTAACGTAATTAAAATTTCATTGTTAAATTTACTTGTGTTTTGTGTGTCTTCCCATTACCTTACCACAGACGAAAGTTCCAGCTTTTCTCTTTTTTTTTCTTTATGTGACGAGGCCATGCCCCTAGCTTTTGAAACAGCCGAACACCAACGCTTTACCGTCACAATATATATATATATATATATATATATATATATATATATATATATATATATATATATATATATATATATATATATATATATATATATATATATATATATATATTCATAAGTGTTATAGGTCTCAATGCCATAAGACGTTTCTAATATATTTCAGGATGGAAACCTCAAATAATAATGAACATAAAAACAATATCTGAAATATCTAATGAAAAGTAATGAGAACAGTTAAACACAAAACATAAAACGGTAATAATTTTGTTGAGAATAAAATATTAATAACTACAAATACAGCATTACTATAATTGACAACTCTGTTACAATTTCATAAACTAATCACTGAGAACCTCTGAAGTGAATAGAACAATGCCTGTCGACACTCTAGGGATATTTAACCCAAGATTTTCCAGCTGCGGAATATCCTGGCACCTTAATTAACAGGATCAAACCGTCTTTAGGACAGTCTGCTCGGAACCAGTCTCACGCGACCGTCTAATATGAACACATTTCTCATGGCCTATCAACGAAAACATCTCAGACGAGCCAACGAAATCTTTCTCATCAGCGAAGTAAAAAAAAATATCAATTGCTTGACAGTCAACTCACGTGTTATTACAAGTTAATCAACGAATATTCTTTCAATGACAATTAGGACGCATTTCACTAGGAAATTATATGACATCTCTCTGGTTCATCAAATGACGTCTCTTACGATTCTAATTATCGATAAAAATTTACTGAAACAGCTGACGCAAACTATCTAAGTGTGAAAGTACCAACGAACCTGATAAAAAAATAG